CATTCGGATTGTACAACAGAAGACAATTCTGTTGTGACAGACACATGGATTATTTATTTCCAGACCATTAATTATACAGCACAGCTGTCTCCATTACTTTGTATAGGAAGATGATACCTGTAAACCTGGACTGGCACTTTTCCAATGATAGCTTAATATATTTGATTAGATCGTCAATCTATTACTTCCTGACCATATGTATAAAGCATAGAATAGTTAACCCTACTTGCCCCTGCAATCATGCATGTATCTGCTTATATCTATATACTATACCGGTACGGAGACTTTTCTATTGCTACTGTGAAATAAAACGTGTTAGTGGACAGCTTCCAAGGAACTACACGGGAAAACAAAAATCAACCCCCCCCCCTATCCCCTATCCCTTAAAATTATAATTTTGTGCAAAGAGATCAGATCCTCGGAGAGAGCCTGCATGTTGAAAAACAAAGATTGAATATATAATGTCTTTGCTGTTTAGAAATTATGAAGTGCAAAATTGTTATCAGTTTTCAAATCCACTTGCAGTAAAAAGTTTTGATGAAGTGTCTGTTGTCCTGTACATGTACTCTGCACTGTAGCTTACTTTGCTTAATTGGAAACATAAACATAAATTATCTAACGGTAGTAATGTGAGTAAAGATCTCCTTTTATAGGCCCATTAGGAAACAGTTTGAGTGAAGATGTGCTAGACTACACTGTATGTTTGTTCTCAAGAAAGAGTTGTTCAACACGGCTCTCGCTCTAGATAAGATATGAATATACTCTTGCACAGAACCACTGACATGAAGAGTCTGGATCTGGAACTCAGCATCCACCATGTGACCATTCTAATCCTATCTGCTACCATGGGTGTATTACATCAGATATTAAAGAGCGTTAAAACACTGCATGAATCTTGCTTAATTACCCCCCAAGCCAGTAATCACCTGGCCCCCTTCCCCCGGCAACGGCCTGGGGTGCCGATCCCTTTTCCTTGTGTCATCATACAATGTTGTTTAGTCATTCCTGGTAATCATAGGACCTCTCAAAATAGGACTAGGTCTAGTCCACCGCCGATTGGTCAGTAGATTTATTTTGATTTGAGGTCAGTGTTTACTCATTACATAGTGTAAATGCAAGGGGGTTGTTTGACTGTGTTCATAATTATCTTTGACTGTCTGAAACAGGATATGCTCTATGGAAATTTTTGTATGTTTTGATTTGTGCAATGTAGATACATGTAGACTGCTTGATATTATGGTACTGGATCAGCGATTGAGGCAGTGATATAAGTGGCTGTGATATAAATGGATGTACATGGTACTTTTTCTTAGATCATTAGTGGAATACAAGATTAGCGGTCCAGGATTTTCTTTTGGACTCCTGGATGTGTTCTGAATTAGCCACGAACAGTTCCTTTCGTATCAAGTTTCTGATCAAACCAACTTGATGTATATTATTGATCATGCAGTTGCAGAATCTTTGAAACTTGCTCTTGGATCAATGAAGTTATTTTGATCATTCAGATGGTTACATACAGTCATATATGCTTTTAAAAACTTGATAGAGTTGATAGTAAACTTTAAAAACCCATGTGGCCTAATGGACTTGTTACTCCAGAAGAGCAGCAGTGGCGATTAGAAATAGCATTGTAATACATTTCCAACATCAAGCTCATTAATAGACAGCTGTTAGCACCTTGTATTGTTTGTATACTTATTGAATGTAAACTGGATATTGCTCAATGAATTTTCATGGACGATGATCATCAAATTTGCGGTTACTGGCAATGAGCTATTTAAAGTTTTATTTTGTCTTTGCCAAGAGGTCCGAACATTCCCTCCTTACAGTATTATCGCATTCATGAAGAGCGTGCAAACTTCAGGATATTATCACTTGGTTGTTCGCCTTCCTCATCGTAATTGTCATGAGTATTAACAGCACCATTACCATGGCAGATAATGATCTCTTAGATTATGTTGCTCTAGAAAGATAAGGCAGCCCTCCCTCGAAACTTCACTTTCTGCGGAATACAGATATCAGGGCCCTCTCACACATGAATTAAAGCCTCACTCAGCCTCTAGATTATGACTAATAATTTGTTAATCCTCCTGAAATTCATCATCTATTCTCCGACTTGATCCTGATAAGCTAACCAAGTGGCAGTCACAGACTATCTTTTTTTTTATCCTGTGTTGTTTTATTCCCCCTAGCTCTTTTGTTTTCTAAAATTAACAAGTCCTGGATTTGGCTGAATATACTATAGACCAACTGTTGAAGAATATCTCTGTATAATCCTGAGAAATCGTCTTCATGGGTGTAGGGTGATGTTGCCATTTTGGATTGCGTTAATTTTTGGTGGGAAATGTTGCAGCTAACAAGGAAGGAAGTCAAGCGGTGAACTGTCACCTGTTGTTGTCGCAGCTAACCACCAGCTAGCTATAGACCAGCTAGCTATAGACTGACACTCTGGGGGAACACTCATACTGGATACACATGAATCATGTTGTACACAACTTTCTTCCTCGAGAATGACTTTATTTCTTTCTAGTAGTGCTTGAACATTATTCAATATTGAGGAAGGGAGGACAAGAAAATTGCGACTTTGAGTTTGTTCCAGAATTTGCTTTTGTTGAAGGCGAGGAAATCACAATGTTGAGACACATGAAGAGCGTGAGAGAAATCGACTGGACAGGGCGCCATCGTTCTGCGAACTATTCACCAGTTGATATAGAAAATTATCACAGAGTAAGTACATGGTTATGTTGTAGTCTGTGTGAGCTGCACATGTCTGCACTGATACATTCTACAGTACGTCATTTTACTGTACATCATAAACCATTCATTTTTTATAGAGTGGCATGTTAATTGGGCCTAACATTAGTAGCTTTACCAGTTTTTCCCTTCCCAAGGCACTTCTGTACATTGCAAACTACAAAGGCATGTCATCCACTTTGTTTCTCTGTACCCAGGATGGTCACCATTGCATGGTGGATATTTGTATACTGTATGTGTACATGTTTCACAATGCATGGAAAGATGATTGCGCTCATTTTGTTTATGAGTTTTTATTTGAATTCTAGCTGTTTATGGATGATTGATAATGATCTTAATTGATTATATAATAAAGACTAGAAACTTTCATTAAACATTGGATCTATTGCTTATCAACAAACAAGAAATTCTAAGAAGAAGTAAAAAGTATTTTGAAGTTTTAAAATGACTGTAAAGACAAGCTGTGGTAATTATTGATGTGTGTTACATTTTTTTAATGAGATGAGCCCGGAGCAAATGGTTAAATCTCCAATAAAACATTATATTAATCGAATCAAGACACAATAAAAATAAGACAAAATAGAAGTAATTAATAAACCATTGAAGGAAATAATCTATTATTCAATTACTGAAGAAAAATGGATCAGCAGTCTTTAACGAGAGAGTGTGGGAGAGAAAGAGAGACAAAAGAGAGAGAGAGAGAGAGAGAGAGAGAGAGAAAGAGAGGGAAAGATAGAGAGAGAGAGAGAAAGAGAAAGGGAGAGAGAGAGAGAACGAAAGAGAGATTGCCCATAAATCTGAACATGTTCTTGTTATTTCCTAATTGCATTATGCTAGTAATCATCACATGATGCAACAAATGTGGCAAAGGACATGCATTCAGATATGTACGTGCACTTACATGTAGGTAACAAACACTTTAGTAAGAAAGAATGGAATGAAAGAAATAATGTGATGCAAACATAAGTTTGATTTTAGCTATTCTCCTTCTTCTCTTTTTCTTCCTCCAATAACGAGCAATAATATATTTTCCTGAAAACCAGAAGGGTTTCAACTCTGATTTCATGACATTCCTTCGCTCTGCAGATGGCTTGAAGAATTTTATTGCATACATCATTTAGATTGAAAATTCTTTAAATTTGATTGAGATTATCCAGTGCTGTTTTCCAAAGTAGCAACATCATAATATATCAGTTATTCGGATTGTTTACAATTCATACTGAATTTCTAGAATAGAAGTGGGATATTCTAGAAGCTGAATATATGTTTAAGTTTAAAAATCACGTGTGGGGGATAATATTTGTGCTAATATGAGGAAGTATCGGCTGTTGAAGAATTACTTACCATAATGGCCCGCAAGTTGAACTTTCAGGAGAAAATCTGTGCCCTCTTTAGATTATGGGATTACTTACAAATCTATTGTAAATCTTGTCTTGTGATGTGAAGAATGTGTTGATTAGGCATGGAAATTGCATGATGATGATGATATGAATGAAAGAAAAAATAGCAAATGTTGATGGTATGAATGGTATGGGTAATGTGTAAAAGTTGTGGTGATGATGACAATAATGGAGGTGATTGAGTATGATGCTTATGAAAATAATATTTATTTTATTATATTTCACTCTCTACTACATGTATAAAAACTGTATTAGACTACTAATTGTAGAGAATATGAATACCGGAAACAACTAATTATGTAAAATGTTGAGGTTTTTCTTTATACCTCTGAAATAAAAGGACGTACTTACTGTTATCCTACAAATATTTGACTTTGTATGAAACACCCTATGCCACCAATACAAAAAAATTATTTAAAAAAAACGAAAACAAACTATGAAGAAGAAAGTGTTGATGCACAGATTAATTAATTTGCATTTTGTGTGAATTACAGAAAGTTTTCTGGGATGTCTACAGAATTCTTATTATTCCTGCTACACCCTTTATGCCCACTGGTTAGAGAGCCAAAATGGTACTAATTCCTATCTCTTTACACACAGTTAATACCTTTATGGCTCCAAGCAGACAATATACTTATTAACTTATCATATTAAACAGGTTATTACCAAAATATTTGCTGGAACCATGATAGAACAACACAATATTTGAATGCGCCTGCTACGGTAGATGTAGTGAATTATAATACATCAATCAGGCGGGCCTATTCGTAAATACACATTGTTATTTTGTTTGTCTGCATTACACTTTATTAATAAGTTTTTATTTATCTTTTGACTCTGTTATTCAGGGAGCTCGTGTATGGGTGAGGGACCCTGAGACAGTATGGAAGGGCGGAGAGATCCTCAAAGACTTCAAGGCTGAGGATAAAACATTGGACGTAGAGCTTGAAGATGGCACTGTAAGTATGATTGTATCATCTTCAAAATGGGATTAAACTTGAATCTATATCATATCAGGAGTAAAAAATATTTCAAGATTGCATGCAAGTACTATAATGTTCATGATCCATGAAGTGCCCAAGGAGCTTGTGGTGTTAACACATTAGTATACAAAGCTTTTATTGTAGTTGAATAAATTCTAAAGTTAGAAATGTTTTAAATATTAAAAGAATGTATAGAAACAATAACAAATTGTGATTTATAGGAACAATGTGGTGATTTCTTAGTAATACTGTATCAAAAATTTAAGTCACAGGCATATGAAATTCATCCTGAAGCTGTATAGAATTCAACAACTCTCACAAATATACCTACAGAGTTTTAGATTTTAGATTACAATTGGATACATTTATAAGTGCCCTTTGTAGGGCTCTTTTACTATTTTAATATCTTGTTTCTCACCATATATGCAACTGTCCAGAATATTAATTCATGTCTCTTATTTCTTCAATTATATTTAAAATTTCAATTTCTTTAGGCGGCTACCCTCAAGGTGAAGACCAAAGAAGACTTGCCGCCCCTTCGCAATCCAGAGATCCTCATTGGAGAGAACGATCTGACATCTCTGAGTTATCTCCATGAGCCTGCAGTACTCTATAATCTAAATGAGAGATTTATACGAAACACAGCCATCTATACATATTGTGGTAGGTATTTTTGGTAGAATCAACTGAGGCAGAGTTCAATAACTTCATTCTCATATTTTTCAGTTCCTTTAAGTGTACAAAAAAAGGAAAGGGACAATTATAGGATGCAGACAGCTCTACAACTTCATAATCAAACAATCTAAAACACATTTAGTGGTAATAATAGTTCAGCTATCATAAGAGATAACAGACTAACTTTTAGATATAAATCAATACATCGCATTTCATACTCGTGGATTTATAATGAGATGAATTTTAAAACGGTAAGTCTAAAGAGGATAGTAGTTTTAGGGAGTGTGTTGCCTCTGGCAGCTAATCAAAAACATATGCGTTTTGTAAAAGAGATCCCCACTCCCTCTTTTTGTCTAGTGTACCCCTTTTAAAGTAAAGTTCATGATTACATGGCATATTAAATTTGATTTTCAAATACCAGGCTATTATTTAATTATTATTTATTATAGAAGCTTGGAAACCTGCAGAAGTTAAATCCCCAACCTGTTCGTGTTGTCACTAAAACAAGCGAAATATGTATCCAATTTACTGATTAACTTCTATCAATTGGCAACTCGTGAACCAATAAATTACATTGCATTACATGTGATGTCATGGCACTTTGATGGTTTAATACAACTGTCATGGTATGTCCAGATGGGTTTAATCTACGTGTCAAGTCTAAATCCCATTCATTCTAAATATGGGTAAAACTGGGTGTTGCCAATTTAGCTGATTGGCAGGATCCGTATTTTACACAGATTAAGGGTCAGTAAAAGAAAAACAAATATACAATGCCATTATGGATTATCATGCCTTTATGGCCTTCTAACAATGAAAATGATTAAAAAAAAACATATTGTATATCACATAGCAATTTTATAGCTTATAAATTTATATCATTTTCATTTTATGGTGACAGCTGAATCTTTCAAATTGATAAAAGAGATAATCTGATTTTTGTTGTTGAAAAATCTTTAAAAAGAGGGTGTAAACTCTTTCAGTAAACCTGTCACTGACATAGTAGCAAGCAGTAGATACAATCTATTGCACATAGTTATTCCTTTATATAGGGTTCAGATGCCTGGGACACATGGGGACCCAAAATCTAAGTCTAGACCCCCAAAACTTCAAATCTTTATTATATGGCTCTTGCTTACAGACAGTAAAAATTTCATCCCAGACCAATGCCCTCAAAAGTTGTGAGCCGTGCTGTATCATCCCTCTTACATAAATCTAATCTTTACGATTCTTCTTGAATGCACTCACTGGTTCACCAGAGGCCTCTTGACAATCAGGTCTGTTTTCACTGCTGAAGATACATATACATCATAAGATATTAAATCAAGTGGCTACCATGTCCAAAATAGTTATTTTATATAATTTTATAATAACTATTTTGCCAACTTAAAATTACGGCTGTTTTTATTTGAATTGATTAGATTTGAATTGACAAGGGTTTAGTGTGTTGTTGTGATCATTGCCAATAATTTCATACTGGCCATTGGCATAATGAATGGGTCACAGGCATTTGATGTTGTACAATCTGATTCAGAGGAAGTATAAAAGGTCCCAGTGGGAAAGTGTCTGGGTGGTCTGATATTCAAACGTTTTGTCAAGTAGGGAACATTCACATTGCTTCAAAGTTGTGACAATGCATGCTTAGAGCCAGGGGGAGGGGGGGGGGGGGGTGTGCTTGGTGAGATCTATGACACTGAACATTAACCATGAAATCAACCATACACAGGATTGTTCAATGTCCTAGAGGTATTATTAGCACCGTCTTAGGAATAATTCAGTCCACCTTGAGTTAACACAATAGACACTTTGAAAGAGATGACAAGAAAGGTGCCATAAACCATGTAGGAAAGCATGAAGTGACAAAGAAGGAAGCGAATTGTTTCAGATGTCATAGACCTTGAGTCAATGACTTACTCAAAATAATCCAGGGATGGCTCAGTTGTCAGAACAATACCTTTGTTTATCTCCATGGTTACAGGTTGGTTTTGTTTAGGTTCACTTCATAGCTGCTGCAAATTTGCCAAATAGGTAGCTGTGGGGTTTACGGTTACTTATGACAGTCTTTGGGTAGCTTTACTAATATTTTTCTTTGAGATTTTGTCTGATTTTACAATTTTAGCTGAATAATCGGGTGAATTTGACTTCATGTACATTCTGTAGGTCAACTGTTGTCCATTGTTCATATTTCGGCACTCTATTCTGTATTTGATTTCTAAGCCACTGCATGTGTAGATGACCAGCATTCTTTTAATGAGTTTTTTTAAGGACACATGCTCCTGCAATAGTTGCTCCACTCTCAATTTACTATACTAACTGAACCCTTAACTTGAACCTCGACCAAACTCTATACCAAACCTTAAATCTCAACCTAGACCTAAACTAAAACCTAATTGTAAACCTAACTCTTGGATATCTTTGAAATAAAGCCAGAAGCAATTGTCGCTGGACCGTATGTTAGAGTATAAATAAGCAAGGTGCTAAAGTTTTGCTGAAAGGATTTATTATATTTTTAATAGCAAGCCTGCCTTGCAAAACAAGTATCTCTTAACAATTTGAAAATCAAATGTTTGTTATAGCCGCTCGAGAAAAGCTATGGACCATTAAGAAGCATAATACTGTGCACGCACAGATCTATTTCTGCACAGTGACTCAAGAGAGGGATTTTCACAGGCTTTCGATTACAGAATTGACACCCACTGAATAATCGATTTGATGAACGTTTTCAACTGTACGTACATGGGGCATTTGAGTGCGGCATATGATTAAGCTTTAACATGACGGCATCTTTCTAGATAAATCATGGAAACATGATCACATCAAATGTCTTTACGTTATTCATGTAATGATTTTCTCATCAAGTAAGTTATCCTGTTGCGAGGTCCATGTTTTGACCAGTCTTTGAATAGAAAAATTTGCCTTTTCCCCTACTTTGTTGTAAGGTCGGTGGGAAAAAAAGTAGATAGCAGTGATTCATGCATTATCAGTTTTACAGGAGAGTCACACAAATACATTCAACCTTAATCATGGCTATTATTTCATACCTCTCGAATTAGTAACCCAATGCAATTGATTCAGCTTAATAAATTGATTGATTGATTTACTATAAAAAAAAAAGAAAATATGAAGGATTCTACATGGGGACCCAGAATTTAATATCCTATCCAAGGAACTGGGTATTGAGGACCAATGCCTTCCCCATGGTGCTTTAAGTTTTGAACCTTGTACCTTCTTATTTCAAGGTCACCGATATGACCTCAAAGGCACCAAAGTCTCTGAATTTTATATAATTGTGGTTCGGTTTGTATGACTAGGGGGCTGTAAAATTGGTGAATGTATGGTCATGATGGCTATGTCATCTATCTAAATACTTGGGGTGGGGTACATGTAACTCTTCATATCTCACTGGTCCTAAGGGCCCACTGATCTACATTCCAATTAATCCTGCATCCCATCGATAGGACCAAGAGTAACCGTTTATATATTTTTCATTAGTATAATGAGAACCCTATGGCATGGCATTACTTTAGTGGAACAGAAAGCCAATTGATGTACATGAAGAACTAATTCCTCCTTATTTTCTAGGATATTGATTTTCTTTACATTATAAGGCACATGACGGGAAACCATGACATTTTTTAAAATGAGTAGATGAATGGCAAGTGGGAATGATAATAGTAGCTACATGTATGCACATCAAAGGTCGTACAAATACTCAAATGTGTGTTATATAAGATACAGAAATATGGAGAGTTTTGCACTTTATATGTCATGAAATAATAACATGGTGTACCCTGATCTATGCAACGATGACCTTTATGTGAGTGCAACCAAGTTTGAGGGTCCATGGCTCTAGATAGTTCTAGGGAAAAGGTTGGCGACCTATTTGTGAGTGTACCTACAGTCAGCCATGCAGGCATTGAGCTACCTAGTGATTCTCCTGCATGACTAAACCTCATACCAAGGTGACAATTTTATAGGTTACTCTCACCAGAATTCTATGATTAATTATTAATAACTAAACAACTGTTTAGTAATATATAGAGCAAGGAAAGATCTTGTCCTTTCTATTGTTTTCCAGTTTTTGAGATAGATCACCTGTTCCAAACCTTTTAGAGGCCAGTCCAGAAACTTTGGCATTGTATGGACAAGACCAAGCTTGACTTGATCACATCTGTGGGATTATGTTCGTGAATGATTATCAAAAATTAATTTAAAGTGTTATTCATTGTTCCAACTCATTGTTCATGTAAAAAACTTTAAGACAGGTTGGTTTTATATTGCCGTTCTCTCTTCCAGTTTCTATAATATAGAACCTTACTTTGTGGCAAGCATCACTGTTTTTTCTCAGAGCATTTATGAAGAATGCTAGATTGACCTCAATGGCAGTGCTAGATATCAAACTATATTACATGGATATTTGAAGTAGGATATTTGTTAGAGAGCATCTTAATGTGGGATGTGGCACTAAACAATTTATACAACAATGGTATATGTACCGGTATGTTGAAAATTATGAGGACTTCCATTTTGAATGATGTCCATTTCCTCTCCGTCTTTTGTACCCCCCCCCCCCAATGGTAGCTATCATCCCTCTTGTCTGAAGTAATAGGGAACTACGAAACAACAAGGGTATATCTAAACTAATTCTCTAATCTGAATGGTGTTCCTTTCTCTCCATTATTTCCATCCTCTCCCTCTCAGGTATTGTACTGGTGGCTATCAACCCTTATGAATCGCTACCACTCTACGGTGAGGATGTCATCCAAGCGTACCATGGCCAGGATATGGGAGCCATGGACCCTCACATCTTTGCTGTTGCCGAGGAAGCCTTCAAGAGAATGGCACGGTGGGTAGAACAATCGAGATGCATCCTGGGGAGTGTTTTACAAAGACTAAGATCAACATTAAGTTGGACTTAACTATGGCAATCCGTTCTTGCCACTGTTTTCTCTCATCATTTTATACTGGCATTGGTTTCTCAAGAGACGTACCAATCGTGGTCACAAATCTACAGAATTTACATTTATTGATATTTCATTATTGAAGGAAAAAATGTTATCTAAAGATCATAATTGAGAGACTAATGGTAAGAGCAACTAGTGCCATAGTTAAGTCCAACTTAAAGTCGATCCTGGTCTTTGTAAAACACTCCCCAGGTTTGGGAAGGAAGGGGATTTGCATAAAGTTGAAGTTTCTGTTTTAGGATGGGATTGGTACAAGGTAGAACAAAGATATCAGGATGGTAGTTTGCAGGCACAAACCCTTGTCAATCGCTGTTCATAAAAGTGTCTGCACTGTGAGACTAGGCTGACTGCATACTTCAGAGGCTTCTGTACTGTACCTTCTCTGGACACAGCCAGAGACTGACAGAACTAGGCTCTGCGCATAACCTTTAGAGATTGTAGTAAAGTGTCAAATTATAGTCTGTGCCTGCAGACTATCATGGTGGTAGTGCAGACAGTTGGAGCTAAGAAAGCGTCTGGGGCCATATGAGGTATGGAAGACATAAGGAGATGGCTTCAAGAGAATTGCACACTGGTTTGGGTATTGAGTATACCTGCATCAAGATATTGCTAGGATAACTTGAAGCTAAGATATTTCTAGGGGTCCCTAGGAGCAGAAAGAAAACGAGTTTAAGAGAATATGATATAAACTGAAGACAGACCTCAGTCAAGCCCATAGCACACAGTAAAATCATGTGAATAGGAAATTCAAATTTGTTATAGTAAGGTATTGCCGACCTTTCTGCCTTTCATTTAAAGAAATGACCAAATCGGTTTCAAACAAGGGACAATCTTGACACAGGGTTGACATCATTGAAATTTGCAGCTGATAAGGCCTTTTCTTTGCCCAGAAGTTCTGTAGTACCCCACAATATTGATTTTGCTATTCATTAGATTACATATCAAACTATATGACAATTTCCTTGAAGTCTTATCCGAGGGACTTGGTAATGAGGATTAATCCCTTACTTAAGAACACTAGCCCAAAGACTTAGTTATGAGACTACAACTCTACCACAGAGCCATCACGCCTCCTTCTTTCTTTAATAATACCATAGGATCTTTGAGACAAAGACTAAAGAAGCAAACAAATCAGAATATGATTTTAAAAGGACAGCAAAAACTGATTACAACCTACATTTTTCTGGTGTATGATATCATTTGAAGTCCATAGAATTCATGTAGAAAGAAAGTATGAAGATAACTTTAATATGATGTGGCTGACAACCTCCACAGAGTGTAGGAATCGTTCAAGAGATAGCAGAGATATCATTAATGGCTCATGGGATAAAGACAAAAGAAAAACATCTTGCAAGGAGGAAGTTGTTGGTTATGAACTAGCAGCATGTCAAGCCAGTGGGCTGTGAGTAGTCCGCCTCTTTCCTTTTCATTTTGAGGCTCATTACACTGACTTAAAGTGAATGGTTACCCTTAAAGGGGGCATAGTGTACCCTTGAAATTCTGTTATGCCTCAGTGTATAATGGGGAGAATTTTACTTGACATATCACTTACTGGATTTAAATGTGAAGAATTTATGTCGGGGAAAAACCATGCCTTCAACACAATAATATTGATAAAGGTTGAGTTCTATTCATCTATTTGATAATTGTTATATTTCCATTCTACATTACTTTATTCTACAACAGGTAACATCACTATACTAGTTCCTTCTACCTTTTATACATAATACCAGATACTGCGACAGTGACCAGTTCATTGTGCTCCAGACAACCAAATTAGATGTGCCAGAGTTTTGAAGATCATCTTTCACGTTGCAATATTGCACGGATATCAGTGTTTCTTAACTTTTCTCCTCTTTGATTTTTTCTTTATATTGCCAGGTTGTTGCCTCTATGGGAGTTAATAACTATAATTGTCATTGTTGCACGTTTCAGTGCTGCACGTTATCCATCTCTTTGACAGTGGAGGTATATGAAATGGTAGCAAATACATTCATTTTGATTCCAGGTCATATTTTTTGAGATACAGAAAGCCATTGAAACCTTCATTGTGCTTTAACAAATTTGATAGCATTTTACATATTACAGAAAATATACATCGAAATCTAATAAAATGTAATTTTACTCTTTCCACTCTTCATACCAGAGCCAACATTAGATTGCTAAATAATGCATGTATATATTAAACCCATTTTTTTACACACTGTACAAGAACTTTCCCTCCAGGCTTGACTCTCCATTTGCTTGTCAACCTTGCTGCATCTGTGTGTCATCCTTCATAGCTGCACTGCCATCTCCTTCTCTCCAAGTACACCATAGAACATAGAACTTTAGGACTGCTTTAGGACTGCTCACCCTATCCAGGAGTATGCCGAAAGTGTTTATACAGCGCCCTCTCTGGTGAATCCTGCTCCAATGCCTCTTCAAGTTTCTTCAAAACGTGGGACTGATATATATAAATCCTGCCAATCACTGCTGGAGTTTATCTTTTGTTTATCACCAAAAGTGTTCTCTCTATATTCCCCTGATGGGTATTAAATACATGTAATTTGGGGTACAGATGGATGTCCTGCTGCTATCTTTCTCATGAAGATGTATGTGGTTATTATGTACATGTTAGTTTTAAGCAACCTCTGACACAAGTCATGTAATCTGTTTGGTAAATGTACGGAATAAAAGTGATAGTATTAAGGAAAGGATAAAATCTCACCATGATGGACTAGGAGTAAAACTTTGATTACCCCCCAAAAAAATCACAGATATTTTCCAGATAACGGCATTTGCTCTTTTTTATGGAGTGAAAGGTTATGGGTGGGGATACGGTCTAGGTAATTGGGACATCCCATCAGAAAGAAGATGCTAAATCATTGACTTCTCCATCATCATAATCATCTTCATCATCATAAACCAGAATCATATTCAGAAAGAATATTGCTACTTCATCTGAGCACCCTTCATTGGCTCAAAGGTTAGGGAACATACATGTACTTTTGTATCTTATTTCCTAGAGTCACATACTATAACCATGTGACAATGATTATGAAGTTTCCACATGTAGTAGAGTACATGTAGCTATACAGGGTAAGAAAGGGTATGTTTTGGCAGTCTCAAGACTGTTTCTTCTCTCATGTATGTATGTACCTTGAACCCTTTCACTTATTCTTTCATACCCCTTCTCCTACTCTTACATCAACCCCTCTTCTCCCCCTTTCTCCCCCTTTCTTCCCCTTTCTCCCCCTCTCTCTCCCTTTCCCCCTCTCTCTCCCTTTCTCCCCCTCTCTCTCCCTTTCTCCCCCTCTCTCTCCCCCTCTCTCCCCTCTCTCCCCCTCTCTCACCCTCTCTCCCCCTCTCTCCCCCTCTCTCCCCCTCTCATCCTTTCCTCTATACGAGCAGTCTTACCTTGAGCTGTTTAAGGAATCCCTTCCTCCCCGAGTTTATTTTCTGCTCCTCACTGTGTTTCTAGGCCCCTTCATCTTCCTTCCTGCTGTAAGAAATTCAGGATGTTTCACATGTCATTGACATCGAGGGAGAGATGGATGCAGGAAGCTGGTTCTTACTCTTTGAGTCAGAATTGTTATCAAAAAACCTATTTCCTAATCAGTCTTAAGAGCTCTGATTTATAATTAAGTTATTGTAGATATCATCAACATTTAGTCCTTGATATTAATCACTGTTGTTGTGAGTCTTTGAACTTCAGTAATTTACAGTGATGAAAGAAACTAGAGAACTTGCCTTAAGGATACCACTCATGATTTATTAATGCAACAACTTTCTTGTTCGTTTTGTTTAATGCTCACTTGATTCTCAATGGTTTGATAATGCCCCATGGTGCTCCAAGTATACAAAATAGCCACAACGACTCTCATAAATGAGTTTTACAGACTTTTATTTGACAACTACACCAACATCTAAATTCATAGACATCTGCTGTTACAGAAATATTACAAATACGTACAGTCATTTAATTATTCCAATACCCACGAGTGTAATTCATACAAGTTAACTTCCCAGTTTTTAAAGTGTCCGAAATGAAGACAATTGTCCGAAATAAGGCGAAAGCCTTTTGATTAGTATTTGCTATATCATAAGATCAAATACCGACATAGTTCCTACGACGATTCGATGCTTGGAGACTTGTGAAGGTTGATGTCCCGTAATCGCTCGTTACGGCAATCGGTCACGTGCTTCAAGATCCCGGATATACTGACTCGGCGGTTCTCGGATGCTAATTCGACGATCCGATGCTTGGATGCTAATTCGACGATTCGATGCTTGGATGCTAATTCGACGATTCGATGCTTGGATGCTAATTCGACGATTCGATGCTTGCTACTAGTTAGTAGTGAAGAACGTTCTTGTCCGCTCTTACGGCTATAAATGAAATTATCAATATATCCTTCAAAATACATGATATTTAATTTCTACGGTTTCAACACTTATTTCTAATACTCATTTTCGAATAAAGCAAACAATGAAATAATAAAGGTTATTTCACCAGACTTTCTTTATCCGGTTATAACAAAACCAACATGGTTTCCTTCCACTACACTTTCATTTCATTATTAACTAGGGTCACCAATCTAACTGACCTGGGCAAAAATAGATTTAATTGCTATATCAGAAGATCCAAAACCGACTTGGTTTCTACGAGGAATAGATCCCTGGAGACTTGTGTCGGAAGGATGATGACCCACAAACTTAATCAATCATTATAAGAATTTCGTTATGTCAATAAAAATTCGTTAGAGAAATTAAGTCATTTCTAGCACAATAATTTCAATAATAACTTGTTTCTCATCATTACTACTAGGTTGTACTGCGTTAATTCATTAACACAAAATAAAATGTTCTTTTACATATAATTTCAAAATGTATGCATGAAGCGTTAAAGCATTTATATCAATAAACGTATATAATTATCCCTATCGAACGACGCTCAGGAGAACGATAGTTCATGAACGGCTCTTTCGTCACGTGTTCGTGAATAATTACTTTTGATACACATACGAGCTAATTTGCTCTAACGTGGTGCTTCTTGCACACTGTAAATATGTAAATTATCTGAATCTCATTATCACACATACGTTATGTATAGAAAGCTACTTACAGTTATGTTGACAAAATTGTGCCAATGGCAGGAAAATCGAGGTTCTGGGCTACATGGAGGATACCTCTCGTACCGGTGTCGCCTGAGGAAAAGGACTGCTTGCGCCGAATACAAAATCAAGGCTCTGGTAGCAACTTCCACAACACACATAAGGGTACATGTTCAAGACCTCTCACACGTCCAGCTACAACCTCGTCTTCTAGTCAACTGCCCTGATTTAAGTCCACACGTACACACCTTTAAGCATTCTCGGCACCACACCCTAATTTGCATATATTCAGACAAGCAAAATATTTTCTATCACTAACGCCCTCTAATGTCTAGATGACCTTGAAAATAGGAAAACAAATAAAATAAGAACAAATTTCCCATTTTACTCTGACAATAATACAAAGTTTGTTTACCAAGGGAAGCCTCATCTGCATCGTTGCTGTTTTTCCTGCATGATGTCCTGCAATTATTTTTACCCCAGCAATTGCCAGGTTCCCATTTATGCCCGGGGTGACTATTGTAACTTGGCCCACTTTGTTTACTGTTATGATGATTCTTTATAACCTCTTTTAAATTCTTGTAGAAGTTTATTTTCTGCTACTCACTGTGTTTTTAGACCCGACCCTTTCATCTTCCTTCCCGCCATAAAAAAGTAAGGATGTTCATAATGTCATTGACATTGGTGACAAGAGGCAGGAAGGTTTTGTTTATTCTTCGAGTCACAATTTTTATTAAAAGGAGTTTATAGTTTGTTTAAGAGTTTTGTTGTTTGATTGAATTACTGAAGCTACAAGTATCATTAACATAAACATTTATTACTTGATATTAATAAATAGGTTCTATCATGAGTCTTTTAACTTCAGTAACTCAGAGTGGTGATGAAAATTTAAAAAAATCACATTTGGGATGCTGTTGAATCAAAACACAAGTGTGTATTCCTTGAGCTTACCTACCAATTTTTCTCAGCTTACTGCAGTTCTTTTTCTTGCAGAATGTGACTGAAGACCAACTCATGGATTGACGTACTGACAGTGAAGCATGATTTGCTTCATAATTTCTGTTTCATGTAACATGATATTAGAATGAGAAAGAAAATGAAAAATAGTTAATTATTTCTCTTTTCTCTCTTCTCTTCTTGTGCTTTTGTTGTCTAGATTTGAGCAGGACCAATCTATTATTGTCAGTGGTGAGAGTGGAGCAGGGAAGACGGTATCTGCCAAGTATGCCATGAGGTACTTTGCTACCGTCGGAGGCTCCTCTAGCGAAACCCAAGTCGAGAAGAAGGTCCTAGCTTCAAACCCCATCATGGAGGTAAACAACACAGGAGCAGAGTTTGTTAGGTTTTTTAATTAGATACTATGTATTGAGCTTGTAGGAAAAGTTGATTATATAATTCCCTAGTAGATGTCATTGAAAATTTATAGATTAAATATCTTTTTTAATTTGTTTATGTCATTATTTTCATCTACATATTTTTTTTTAAGTAAAAAATTCTTTCCAAAAATAAATTGTGTAGAATGTAGCAGGCTATAAACAATGGTTCGATTAAACAAACCTTCTTTCAATAAATAAATAAAGAGAAAGGAATTGAGAATTCCAAAACCAAATTCAATGAAGTTTGATTAAATTTGCTCACTCACTAAGTTTAACCAAATTGATTTTTTTTCCCAATGCGGTAATGCATGTTGAGATGGCAATGTAATCTTAATAGAGTAGGGAACTTAAAAACGGCATGCTTTGTTTTACTTTTTTTTTATCTCCCAACATTTATCTGACTCTGATTTATTCCTTATATTTAAATAGGGGTATAATGTTTCAAGCTTCACACTTTTTATATAAACTATTTTTGTCTAGATGCATCACCAGTGAGAGATATTTATGGATCATGCTTTTCTTACTTGTTGTTTTTTGCCTTCTGGCTAATTAACAAGCAGTGAGCGTCATAGCATGTTGATACTGTATTTAGAAATGATGGGAGCTACACAGCTTTAATCAAATTGACTTTGGCTGGCGAACAGTGACTTTGGCAGCACAGGGAACATTTGGAGGAGAGTAAGAGAGAAATATAAAGAAGAAAGAGGATTCAAACCAGTCTAATAGTGGCCACCTGTCTATAAAGGCCACTTTTATCTACAGTGTTCACCTGCCATGTTTGCTTCTAGGAATTAAATATATAAAGGCCACCTATCTTACAGTGACCACTTTTTCTATTTTGCTGGGATGCCCTTTGCAGAAAGGCTTGAATGTATTTCTCAAATGATCAATGATGGTATTCATAACTTAGACTAAAGACGACAGAAATGAATTCATGAAAATTCCTACCTGGTGATTTGAACAAGTAGTTCTATAATTCAAGAAATTTCTTGACTAAATTTTGGAGTTTCCTGAATAATGGAGACATGTCAAGGCACACATGGGTGATGTTCTACCATTATAGGTGTATCCAATATTGTGGAACTGAAGCAAAGATAATAACTGGGCCATGCTCTTTTAACCAACACATCAGATTTACCTTTAATGAAGGTTGGCACCAAGGGACAGTACCTTATCTCACAACATGGTCATGTGACAATGATTCATGGGGTATCACATTTCTGTCATAGCCTCCCATTATCTACTTCTCTACCCCCACATCAAGATTTTGTTACATAGATAGCCTGTCTTTGACGCACATTTGATATTTTCCTAATCTTTTGGACTGACTTGAGGGAAATTTTCTGAAGGCTATCTTTTTCCATCACAGTTTCCTTCCTCCCTCCCTGACACCACCATGTTTGGTAGACAAGATGATACAGAGGGACACAAATAAAAGAATGATATAAATCAACCAAGCCAGTAAAATCTTGGAAGGTTTTGCATGTCTGTGAATAAGGAAATGCTAAGATGGTTACTGGGTGAATGACAGTTCATTATGTGTTACAGATTTACGATGAAAAAAACAAGGTCCTTATGAAAACCGCTCCGTGAATTGATTTGAAAGATCTGGTTGATTGGTTGTTTTGTAGATGGTGCTAATGGTTCTTCTGGTTAGGCATCCTATTGTCTATTCTCGTATCCAGAATTTAGAAAGTATGATTTGAAATGTCTTAAAGTCGATTGCCATCTTTGGGTGGTCCTATCTTGGAATGATTTTCAGCTCCAGGGAAAGTGAGATCATCAATAAAAAAATTGGCCGTCCTCCAGAAAGATTAATTGGGTGATTACATACACGTACATATCCAGGGTTGAGGAAGGTATGCTCTGACTGTCGCATGGATTAAAGCTATGATGGAGTTTAATTAGATATATTGGACCGTAAATGGACAGGTGTTACATGTTAGATGAAATAAGAAAAGGAAGACAGCTAGGAGACAAGTAGTTTTCAATGTCTGGAGATATATTGCCCCAAGAGTTTTTGTAAAGTATCCTACTGTCTACTCTTGGATTCACCCGAATTGAATCAATGGCTGTATACGTTATCTTATATGAACCATCTTCTGGAATCAATTTTTAGTTTCTCTTTGAGAGAACATGACATTGAGAGAACATGAGATCACCATGCAGATTTGGCCATTCTCCAAAATGGTTAATTGGGTAATTACTTGGACTTACATATGCAGGGTGTTGAAAGATACAGCATATGTATGCTACCAAGCTGTGCTCTGGAGTTTGATGAGATATGTTTCTGTACTTTCAAATTAAGCTCTTAAGGATGGATGATCCTGGTCACTTGGATAAGAACAACATGGGACAGAAAATATTGAGCAAACATTGGTTTACCCTTTTCTACTGCTTTGTGTAGCTTTAGGCCTTCATGGGTCCAATAAGAATATTTGGTAGAGGAGCTTAATTCTTTCTCTTTTTCTAGCATAAGATTTTTCTTGAAATTATGTCAGATATTCATTTGTTGATTCTCAGTCCTTGTCTGAATGTGTCATATGTTAGAGACTGTCTCGCTTCACTCAACGACTATAACCTGCATCATTGCCCATTAACGGAACAAGATGACCACCAGCTTTCTACACTTGAAGGCTTAAGAAACCGATATCCTGTCACATTTATCTCGTGAAATATCACAGGAAACATGCTACTTCTGCAATTTCAGTGATTCCCAGAAGAGTCTAGCTTCTTAACATGATCAGAATTCATGTGATGAGGGATATGTTTAGAGAGACCAGAAGGTTTTGACCAGGAAACGTCATGCTTCTACTTGTTCTCAGATGAGTCTAGAGTATTGATATGATAAGATTTCATTAGAAGAGAATTGAGTTTGGTACAAAAATGGAAAGCTTTGACCAGAAAATGTGCTGCTTTAAAAACTCAGTCATTCTCAGAAGAGTCTAGTGTCCTGAAATGATAGCATATCATTTTAAGAAAAGTATTTGAGAGAGAACAGAAACATGCCACTTTTTAAAATTCCATCATTCATAGAAGATTTTAGCTTGTGATGGGAGGTATATTTGAAAGAGATTTGAAGGTTTTGACTACACATAGTCTTAGGTTTTATAGAGAGTGCAGACTCCAGCACATATATACTCCTATTTCATAAACCTCAAGACATGACTTGGCTTATAAAAAAGAATTGTAGATCTTTGGAGAATGGCCGTCAAGGATATAAAACATCCAACCCCTCAACATGGAAAAAAAAAAGTTATGATGGTCATACATGTATCCACAACAAAACAACCAGTCATATTTATTAAAGATGAATTAGAAAAACAACTCAATGCAATATCTAGGATTACATCCTTTTAGAAGGATACATCTGGACAAATGTCTAGAGGCAGCAGGGTCACAAAATGGAAGTGGTAATGTGGAGCACGTGTGAGCTTGGCTATGGGTTCATCTCCTTCATCCTATTTGGAGGAAGTTTTCACTGACAGCCTGTCATTTCTGGCTGTTTTTAGAGCATCCATTTTGGAGCAGTGGAGTGGAAGTTATCTGACATCTTCCTGAATGATGAAGACAATGGTTTTAGGGATCCACCCCCGCTCGCTAAACCTGTCATGAGTCATGCTCATGGCTTTTAATGTGAGACAACTTGTCATCAACTTAATAGTTAATAGTTAAAAGACATACCGGTATGACCTACTGGACACATTGCACAGAATCATCCTAATACTGGCTATTGCAATGAAATCTCAGCATTTATGTGAGGTATGGTAGGGTTTCTTAGGACATGTATTGCCAGTAATATGCTAGAGGTACAAAACAAAATGTTAAACAAACATAGCAATAACAAACATTACTGTAACACTTCACGTTGAGGATACACCAATTTAAGCCATCATAAGAATGCTTGTGGCTCACAATGATTTCACCAAAATCAGGAGGAAGGAAAGTTTGTAATTTTTTTGTCATTCAGGGAGCTAAATATATTTATACTTTGTCTAGGTTTTATGGGTAACTAATGACCTTTTCAGAACTGCATTTGCAAAGATGTAAACGAAAAAGAAATTCTTGAAATTGACAGCTGACTTTGATTCTCTTTACTTGTAATAAATATGAAATAAAGAGAGAAAAAATGTATTCTATGAATTGTCAGCTGCCATTGTTCGACAGGAATCTAGGGACTCTGAGGAGATTGTTATCTTATCACCGGAAATGTGATGAAACCTTTCCAAAAGTTTGAACTCATTTTGACAGAAAGATCATCTCTCTATCATATCCCAAGACATTCGACAAAACCATTTTTAACCTTTATTCGGTTTCATATTAAGCAGTTATAATGACATTGAAGGAGGTTTGTGGAAAATAGCGGAAGAGTCAAATGCCTGCGATGTCTCAGCAAAAAAGTGTAATTGATTATGGTGAGCTCGCCAATCGAATTTTCTTGCCTCCTTATTTTGGTCTCTTCCCGCTCTCCCAAGTATTTTATCTCAAAGTCTATGCCCAGTCATCGAAAGCACAGGTGGATGCTTCCTGCGGTTGTCTGGTTTCCATGGTTACCCCCATTTTCATGACAACTGTGCTCAATCTCCTCGTTACTTCATATCAGCCTGTATAGTCCTCTCTCATTAAGAAGGAGGAGGAGATCGATCATGTCCATGGTGTGAAACTTTTTTCCGATGTGCTTCTGCCTCCGTCACCGCCTTGGTTTTGTTCTTCACTTATCAAACCTCAAGTGTTCCTTTATTTGGGCAGGGCAGGAAATGCAGAATTACAAGTGCAAGTCAGCATTTTGGGGGGTCACGCAGATGCAGCAGCTCTATGGCGTGAAGAGATGGCTGTATTGCAATGCATTTCATCACCAATGCTTTTGTTGTCCTGGTGTTTGCACTCTGGGCTCCAGGAGTTAGCCCTATGATTGTGAGTGACGGCAGTGGGGAAACAAATGGTAATCAAATTAGATCTGTGAAACTCTATTCTTCGTTTTCACAAGAGACGTCAAAAATAGCTCCCATTGACTCAGTAGACATGGAGGAAGTGCGTCTGTTTTAGGAGCAATCATCTCTTTTTTATTGCGATTAGTTTCTGCTAGCAGCTACTTTTTCCCCTTCAGTTCATTTTCTTTTCAAGTTTTGGTGTGCATTCAACTTCTCTGTGGTACTCTCCGTTTTTCCTCTTTTTTTATGATTTGTAAACTTTATAGCTAAGATCTTGATGTAATACATTTTTTTCTTATAAAGATATAATGTCTATGGACTTGGAAAGAGGGCTTACACCAGTTCTTGTGTAAAAACTATTAAACACCCACTTTGGAAAGAAATGCCTGGGAAAGAATGATTGTTGACATTGTATAATCATCTGCAAATCCTTGAAGACAGAGGCCACAAATGGGAGGAAACCATTTGATTGTATGCAGCTTTTATTTATGTGTGTACCTCTTCCTCCTCCTCTTTATTTACGAGCTTGCGACTCCTCTCACTTAGGCAAGCCCAGGGTCTGCTTCGATGAGTAAGCCCACCCTAAATAGGTCAAAGGAAGCTTGAAGAGAGAGAGAGAGAGGGCTCCGAGACCTTTAGCACTGCTGCAGAGGAGGAAGGCTGCCCCTCAGAATCTACTCTGCTTTTCTTTGAGAGCAGCCAGTGGAGGAGGGCGTTAAAAAATTGTGGAAGCACGGATCGTGCATTTGCAGCATATGAGCTGGCTTTAGATGGATTGCAGTAATCTCTTTTAGGATCAGTCCAACCATGAGATGTTGGACCTCGTCACATCACCTCCACCCTCTGACCTTGATAAACGTCAATGCATGATGTCTGGACGACTACTGTTAAGGGTTTAGGGGCTACTGAAGCCCCCACCTACCCTTTGCACCCCATTTTTTTCCAAGGAAATGTCTGCCTGTTGATCAACCAACTCAAAGTGGAACAAAATATCATCACTCTTCTTACGCACCTGCAGACCATTTTAACCGGAAAAAGGATTAATTTTCTAAACTTTTGCTGAGAACCTTTGCTGATTGGATGTTGGCCTCTTTACGCTGCTTTATCTTTTCATCAGGCTTTAATTTGCGTCACCTGTGAAGCAGCAAAAGCCACCACAGCATTAATGATTCTGTTTTTGTGGAGGATGTGCAAGGACAACCTTCTGAATTACTGCCAATTGTTTGTCATTATTTGATTTTTTTTATCTAGTTCTTCTGCAAGTGACGTCTGCTGTTTGCCTGAAGTGACGTTTCAAGTAAAAATTTGCCAGAAGCAGAAATCTGAGAGCATTTGCCTAGCTCCATGAAGATTTAATGATGTGTATAATGATGGCGGGAAGATGTATTTGTATAGATAACTGCTGAAACCTGAAACACTTGCTTCACATTCAAAGGGTAGATTTTAAATCTTAAGAGTACAAGAACGGAAACCGAGAGTTACGCAAATAAGTTATCTCTATTTTCAAACTTTTTTACACAAATCTGTAATTTGTGACAGAATGGTTTCTGAGTGCTATCTAACTACTGCAGGATCCACAGCTTGCCTCATGTTCTTCCCTCTCTGCTCTAGAACCTAATTAGGGCGACAGACTTTTGGTGTCTTGCCAGTTCTGTCTGACCAGTTGCTTCTTAGGACTGCTGAAAGAAGATGCATTGTAAAGTTTTCAGCAGAGTAGTTAGTGAGTTCAAGAAATCTGCTTAAACAACTTCGATGGATTTATTCTGTAGTTAGTGAGAGGATTAATGGATTGCTTCGACCTGGATTAGAGGAGATTTAAAGGATCTTCTAAACAGAACATGATTTATCTACAGTAACCGTACATCCTATAAGAGAATGTAACTTGGAGATATTGTATTCTGCAAGTGATAACAGCATCCCGATTTGAAAGCCAAAAGCGTCTGTCTATTTAGTAGTGATTTGCTTCTTGGTTGCATCCTGGTTGTATCTTGGTTGTTTGTTTGATTACCTGATGGAGTTTTGAGATGGCTATCATAACCAGTGGAATCTTTCTTGAATCGATGAAATCCTTCAAGTGAAAGTCATATCATTCAGAAAGAGGAAACGATTGAAACCGATCTACCGTCATGGCGTTCGTAACTTTAAACATCTACCATCTCATGTCCACTTTCCTCAAGGCAATCGGCAATGCCAAGACGACGCGAAATGACAACAGCAGTCGCTTCGGCAAGTACATTGAGATCCGGTTCAACCGGCTTCATCACATTGTTGGTGCCAACATGCGGACATATCTACTGGAGAAGTCACGTGTGGTCTTCCAGGCGCCAGAGGAAAGGAATTATCACATCTTCTACCAGCTCTGCGCATGTTGTGATCAACCAGAACTCAAGGAGTTGGCCCTAGGTATGTATTTGTACCATTATTTCTTCTGAAACAGTAACCTAATCACTCAAATTGTTTTCATCCCTTGCTTTCACCCAAAGGTACATGTAGGTGTGACCAGGGCATCGTTTCACAAACTGTCTTATGTACAATTTACCAATAATGCCATCGAAATGCATGTGAATCTGAATGGGATGGCAGCGAACTTGTACTAATGCTGTTTGGTGAAATGATGCCCAGTATAATGTATGAATACACGTGCCTATTATGATGGTGCCAAACCTTTTGTCAGAGGGGTCTGGAATGTGAGCGGCAAAAATAGTATACCTTTCCCCTTTCTGGAATTCTCTATAGGCTTTTTTTGGCATCAGAGTCTGTGGAGCAGGAAGCCATAAAATTTGGTTTAGATGACATCACGGTGTATGAAATTTCAACATTGTTCTCTGTTGATTTCAGTTAAACTGGCAATCTATTTAAAATGTACTGTCAGTATTCAATAACAGTACTTTCCTTTTATATTGACAATACAAAACTTAGTATTTTTTTTTTCTCATTCAGGTGATACATCTCTTGAGAACATGTTCTTTTTTTATCACTTCTTGGATTCAATTTTCTCCTGTACATTTATCAACCTGCCATGTTGTATTTACAAGATCATGTTTATAGTATTTTCCTGTGTTTGGTTTATTTTGGAACGCATATTTTTGGGAAAGAATGCTTTTCATTCCTGGTGTTCTGTTTGCGCACTTCCCCCTTGATTTTGTCATGTTAGACATATAATTTTGCTAAAGTGTGTGTAATGTGCTTTTGTATAAATGGTCATTAATGTTTTGCTATGGTCACATTACCCAAAAGTAGACTGCTCGGCGGCCGAGCGGCGAGTTTTTAACCAATTCTGCCCGGCGGCTGCCCGGCCACCGAGCGGCGGCCGCCCAGGCACCGCTCGGTTTTAGGTCATCGCTCGGTCGCCGCTGAAGTTTTAGCGCGGAGTTAAAATTTGGGCGGCGCCTGCTCACTTTTCACTCGCCGCCCAAAATACGCTCGGTGCCTGGGCGGTCGCCGCCCAGGCACCGACCTAATCGCTGGGCGATGCCTAATTCCAGCAGGGACCGAGCAGGCTACTGATCGGTCGGTCGCTGCTCTGATTTGTGACCATAGCTTTAATTAGTCAGTTTGTGTGAAAGATGATTTATATTTTTTTAATGAAAGTATATATTAATGTGTGTGTTTTGTTGTTGTAGTTACAATATATATCACAGTGGCAGGGTGTGTGTCTGTCTGTGTGTAAGGATGTGTGGGTGTTTAATATTGAATGGTATTTTGTGAATTTGGTTAAAAGGAGCCTTTTGAATATATCACAACCAGGCTGTGTTCAAATCTCTAATTATGTAACGCATGTAGAATAGAGAATTAGAAAGATACAAGTACATGTACACATAAGACATCAATGAATTTAGCTATCCAGAGATGAAATTGTTATGTATATATATGACCAGAAAAAACAACTCTGATTGAGCTTTTGAATGAAGCATGCTATACAAATTTTCATATTAGTTGGGCAGAATTAGCATGTAAAATGTAAATCAATAATACCAAGGACAGAGTTAGATCTATTGGAAAAGAACCTTCACTGATTCACTATAAATCCATTTATTTATTGGAATGTGGAACTTTGATTTTGTAATTGAAATCGTAAAACAAAAAATGAGCACACTATTATATACTGTACTTACACTGTGAGAGTAGTGCATACAGCTTTAGAGCACCATTGACATTTAATTATTTTGTGAGAAATTAACCAGTCTGAAAAGAAAAACATCATACTTTCGCAATTACTTTTCACAGTACTACTCGCTACAAGATGCAGTCACTGTATTAAGTCAAGGTGTGTAGGGAAGAAGTAGGATTGCTGACAGCCATAATTATTATAGTGTACCTTTCCGAAACTGGATTTCCTTGCTCCAAGCTGTAGAGTCAATGTTAGTCTCTGAGAAGTCTTGCTGTAACAAAATGGATTAAGTCAGTCTTCTGCTGATGAAATCCAATCTGGTACATGTAAAATAATTGTAGTAAAGTACAAGCACTCTCAAGTAATCATTAGAAGTGTTAAATGTTTTCATATAAAATCAATATGAAGTTATTGAGCCATTGCAGATCATACTTATTGACTTTGTTAGATGTTTCATTTGTCTTCGAGTTGAAAGAATGGTTACTTGTCTAAGAACTGTATTAACTTGAAAAGAGCTTTTTTTTAACACTAATTTTTTTATTTAAAGGAAATCAAACAAACACGCAGATTTTTCGAAATTTATGGAATGATTCCAATGTTTTTTGATGTAGAACTGGTGACAAACTTTTTACTTCGACAAGATATGAGGTAGAAAACAAAGATACAGTTGGGTTTGGATACTCCTAGACTATTCCATCATATGGAGAGGAAGACAGACTAGACCCTTTCATGACAGCTGTCAATTACCATGTGGTCTCCAGGGGCACCCAATTATCACTCTCATATTCTAGTGGGCTACTGTTTATAACTTGGGGTCATCCTTACTTTTGTATATATTATATACATTTTAAAATCTTCTTTCGGGTATATGAAAAACAGGACAGAAAATTAGAATTATTCTGATCTTTTGAAAAATGACTTGGAACTATTAAACATTTATTTGTTAAAATTCACAGAGGTAAAAATTTATATGATTGAATTGTGTGCTAAGAAACATGGTATAAGATTTCACAGTGTACAATGAAACATGATGAAAATTATACCTGGGCCCTCTTGCATACATAGATGCATTTGAACGCAACCCCCAAAATCAAGCGCTAGCCCTTAATACACTTTCCTGAATGTTTGAGAATTAAGTTGCTTTTAACTTTTTGAGTTGCGTTTAATTGCAGATTTTTAAGCAAGATGCCCTTATATTGTCGGTCATGACCTAATAAAATCAGGTTATTGATTGCCATGTGGATGTGGCCTAATTGTCACAATCTCTTAAAATGATCTTGTGGGACACATGTGGTAGGAATTCTTTACAAAGCTTTGATGAAAATCAACAACATTCCTCATTCCTTGCTCTGACTTTGCTAAAAAATTGCCATAATTAATAAGGAACAAGACCAGAAAACACTGACCTAGGTCACAGCATGTTTTTTATTTTATAATTCTTCCGCCTATCCTATCTTTTGGACCACATGGTGATAGATAATTAGATGCAGTTTATCTCTCAGACTTATCTTTCTGCTAGATCATCGTGGAATACATACATGTAGTTAGCGATCAAGGGCCACTCTCTTGAAACTGTCCAAAGTCAAAAGCATGGTCATCTCATTGAAACACACATTGTAAACTTAACACTCGGTTCTTTGAGGTAAAGGTTTCGAGGTATTGGGTTCCTATTTGTCTTTTGGTAGTTTAGAGGAGAAGACAGTATTATGAAATGGTCAAAATATGGATTTAATACTGATCATTATTAATGATACTTAATTGGTCATGATGGAATGAAAATGACTGAAAGTAATATCTTAGGTGCATTTTTTTCATTGCCATAAAGACAATTCCTGATTCCAATCAGTCAAGTAAAATATATGGAAATAAATAGTCTATAATAGTCTATTCGGGGAAGCCTAGCTTTGGTCAGTTGAGTTCAAGATCTAAATTATTAACCTATTAAGAAGCATATCAGAAATTTCTATTGCACTGTCGAGAGAGCAAAATTTTAAAATTTCGGAAGACACCTAATTTGGAGTTTGGTATTGAGCCAAGTCCTTCTATACCAGGGACGTATGCAGGAACTCTGGAAATCCTGCAAAACATCAGTGCTAGATTCAGGTATATACTTAGCCTATCAAACCTTATCGTCCATTTGCTTTTGATCAGGATGGAAAATAAGTCTACAACTCTGTACCTAGGGAGTAAGAAATTAAATGCTTTCTCATGTTCATAGGATGATCAAAGAATCATTTGTATATGATCGGGGCTCAAGTGCGATATACAGAATGGGTGATCCAACACATAGTCCAACAATATTTACTACGGGCTGTATTCTTAAGCTTTCATTAAACTAAGGTCTAACAATGAAAATTAGTTGGAGGTCTAAGTTTATCTTTACTAAACATGATATGAACATGATATAAGCCTCACTAAACATGATGTAAGCCTCACAGTCATGTTTAACTGAATGAGTAAAATACAGTCCATAGTTTTTAAATTAGAGCTTCTAAATTATGTTTTACATGTAGGTTAGGGTTATAAGTGTAGTGTTAGGTCAGGGTTGAAGTTAATGTTATGAATTGATCGCCAAGCAGTTGTAACCAGAGCACATATCAATCAATCATTTTACGATCAATGCTTATAGCTCAGCTTAATAATTATTTTATAACCAGCCATCCCGTATTCCATCATCAAGAGTGGGTGCTCTACCAAAATTGGGACAAAATTAACTCCCAAAATTATGGAGAAGGTGGTGATTATTGGATTTAACATGACCTCCATTCATCTGAACATTTTGTCTGGTTCCTATTTTTAGGGAGGAACATTAATCAACCCCTTCCCCTCTTGTCGATCATTTAAATTTTGGTTTCTGTAAGGTTCAGCAATCATGCCTATTTTTAGGGGTTAAATGTTTTTGTTGTTGAAGATATAACAAATTGGAATTCAGTAATTTGCATTTACATATGTGAGATAATTGTCTGTTTCTTGTCTTTTTTTTTTTTAAGGGTTTCAAATAAGTATGGCCGAATGTAAGAGTCAAAGTTAGATGGGGTATTGCATGGGAGCTTCCAAGTCACATTAATTGTGATTCTTGATATAACTTATATAAAGTTTGTCAATAAAATTTGTCGGGTTTGCATGCTGAGTTTGAATAAGTTGTCTGAAATATTCAGGAACGATGTTATATGTATCTATTTCAATGAACTTTACACATATTTTTGCATCATCTTTTTCAGAGACAATGAGTGCCAAGTGCACTCTTTCATTCCTTTTTGTCATGGGGATTGAGGATAATAAAGGAAGACAT